GACCCTTTCAGTTATTATAGGTTAACACAATTACAGTATACGCACATGAGTCGTTTGAGCCACAAGCATTCTGGAATGCCCTTAGGCTTTTCATATACTTGCATGTTTCAAAAAATGGCTACACATATATTGCTAAGTGACATATACACCAATTCTAATACGGATATGGCTATCTACAGTATTATATTATACCAGTGAATGCGTCCTTTGTCCACAGAAGCTCTCAAGATTCAGCGGTAATAAGCTAGAATTTTCACGTATGCGAAAATGACCTGTCTAACAGTCGTCCTTGCTCTATTAGACAATGTTACCGGCATGTCCGCGGTAGCGAGGGTTAGTACACATACTCAAGAGCTTCTTAAAGATTTTCGGTTCATCACCATCTTCTCTAAAGTGCACTGACTACACACTGCCCACACAACTGTTACTTTACAAAAGATTACAAAATCCCGCTAGCAGAATTATTTGATAGCTAGCAGTCATTAAATAGAGACTGCAGCAGTCGCTCTCAGCCGAAGAATGGTGTCAGCTAGCGCTAACGGTCTTCCTTTGAGTTCGACCTAATGTACTTTACGTCCGTTAGTAAAGCGTCGCGCAACGCGAAGCGGTGCTGTTGGTAGTATGTGCAGGGTAGACTGTGTTTGAATCCTCATTTTTTCAGGCAAACTACAGGCTGCAAGCTTGATTTTTCCTGTAGTAATATGCTGTAGTAATAATTTCGTGCATCGCATTAGGAAGATCTGTAGAAAAAAATCTACATAGCCACACCTTGCTTATAGGATGTGAAAGGAAATAGAACGAAGATAGTAACGATTGTAAATATCTGTCTGTAGAAAGCTATTATAGTCTATACAGACTACACTTTGATAAAGAAAGACTTGCGTGCTTAAAAGCCAATTTTCTTTATCCTTGAACAATTCATTCATTTCCCTGCTATCAAGTGTATACATCGATTTTCCCAACAAATAAGACTATCCTGATATCCATGGCGGGTTACCTACTCAAAATACCACGACTTTCAGAACAAAACATGCTGATAAGGTTGCTTCCACTTTTGGTTTCGCCTCATAGCCTTAATTACGTGATATTGATGGAGTAGAAATTTAACCATTACTTCATATATATCAACGACATGCATTAATATATGTTAACGAATCATTAATTATTAGTGAGATGGCATCCATTTCAGTACCTGTTCAAGATGAAACTACTCATGGCAGTTGAATATCCAGTCTACGTTTTCGTTAAGCTCGATTTTGGAAATGTAATCAATCGTTTGGTACATACGGTGCATTGCGTATAACGTAAAAGTGGATTACCAGCGTTGGGACCAGTGTTATCTACCCTGAGTATTTCGTTTTAGCCCCTGGGGAGTTCCTTCAATGTAATTACAGTTGACACATTGCGTACAATACAACTAGAAGATGAGTTTTGTCTATCTCTGAATAAAAATCGGAATGCTTGGTCACAAAAGAGGGCAAGGCACAGGGTGCCATAACGGGAATACTTCTAAAGGTGAGACGGAGCCGCGCAGCATACCGAGAACGCTAAGAGCACTTTATTGGTATGCAAAAAACTCCCAAACGCCTGCTGATAAACGCAACTCATTGCTACCGGTACTTACTTAAGAGTTATTCATCCGCAGAGTATACATTTAAAGATGACACAGTTGAGGCTTAACGATGATGTGTAATGATTCAAGTGTACGATGAGGGGACGAGGGTCATCCTGAGCATTGTATTCAACGTCAACACTACAGATATAACGTAGGAAATACAAGTCTGCTCATCTGTACGTGTAGTAGTGATGGAATTAGCCCCCATTTTTTTAACGCTGTGTACCTTTTCTAGTTCGATCGATTCGCTGAATGTTTCTTTCATGAAGGCATCCGTCTAGCCATAAACAAAGCGAAGGAGGAATCTAGAAGAAGGCTCGTGTCACAATTAAAGCTTAATTTCCTAACAAAGCATATAAAATAGTAGACCTTTGCTGGAAACATGCGTCAAATTATAACAAGAGACATGCTCTCCTTTGGAAACTTGTCTTTTTAACCATAACGTCAAGGACTCTCCACAACCAATATACAAGGTAGGCTTGAATTCATCTCTCACGGTTTCCTCATTAAAATCGGAGGCGTCATCATGTAACCATTTCTAATGTGCTGCCTGCGATACCGCGGTGGTCAGTGACAATTGGCGTATCTGTAGCAGCGTTAACTGTTCAGGTAGGTTTCTGAGGCACCAAAAGCTAAATATGATCAATTATAGGGCACCGTTAAGGGCAGGTATATTTTCAGCGTCTAAGTATTTGAGACCATTTGTTCAGTACTATTATAGGTGGGGGAAAAAAATAGGACGAAATAAGTACACCATTATGGCCTCGAGGCAAATAGTTCTTTTGCGTTCATCACAATGCATTCACTACTACAGAGTGAACAGCTAAATACGTAGGTAGAGAGAATATGCGTCTGAATAATTAGTATCTTTTAAAATCATCAGTCAAATATATAGAGGGATCTTATTACAGAGCATTTATTACATTACATTACAGAGCAAAACTTCCAATATGGATGCTAAGCAAGACATCAAAGCAGCTGCGGTTTCTAGCAATCTGCAAAGAGAATGCAGCGGCTACTTTGAGCCCAACTAGGTAACAATAAAAATAATAACCAGCTAGAGTAGATTGTTATTGTTACTTAACAAAAAGCGCCTGATCGCGTCACAGCACATTTCGATTTTAAGATATTGAGGATTCGTCTAAATAAATGCAAACAAGTCGCTGAAAAGCTCCTACATGGTATTCAACTGGGCTAATATAGACACTTTAACATCTTATTTTATCTAGACATATTGTCAATTTTCTCTACCCATTTTCCTGAAAGTAGAGAACGCAAACGGCGCCGCGCATGCAAAGATTTTTTTTTTTCAAAAATCAAATGTTTTCCGATCATTGGTGGTCATGTGAAAAATGGCAGTTCGATGTCCATCTCTCACCGCTCCTCGTTGGAAGCAACCCACCTCTCCATAGTTAACGCATGGACTTTCCTCTAGAAGGGCCATACGTCAACTATGGAGAGCGACTGCTAATATAAAAGAACTGGATCAACTTTTATAAATTTGAGAATTTAAGAATTTGCTAAATTGTTGGAACCTTCATCGTTCTTCACGGAAAAAGCTCTTTGGAAGAGGTAAGTAACCCAAATCTTACGTTAAACAAATTGAAAGCTATTCATTACTAGCTGTTTCCTGAATACATCTCAAGTGCTACTATTTTCTCGATAGCCTGTTCAACTCTTTCGTGATGCGAAGCCAGTTTAGAAACGGCCTTAACCCAATTTACCTTGACAACGGCATATGCTGAATGTTTCCCTAAGCCTTTACGTTTCACGCCAATTCAATTCGATTTAAAAGAGGCCTATTTAGCAAATCAAGGGTTAATGGACTTTAAAAACGGCCCCTCCTTCAAGTGTTCTCACCTTAAGTAACAGGTACTCCAAGGAGCCTTCGTCGAACGATTTCACTTCCCCAGCAAAATTTGATCAACTTTGACATCATTTAATATAGATTTAGGTACAATATAGAACTAATATATATTATTAGTACTTCTAGTGATGAGTCACTTTACAGCCGAAGTATTTTTGCTTCATCGTTAGGACTCGATAACGTTTCCAACCGATATATTTGGTTTAAAATAATTAGATCTCTCTAGATCAATTATAACCCTGCTCACTGCCATCTCGTTTGCCTCACGCCATAATATGGGGCAGTTAGGAGTGGTATTTATGACAACAATTAAAACGATGCAGAGAAATATATAAAGGTACATTACATTTTTTAAGCCAGAAGTATTATCAATAAATTTGCTGCGAAGGCCTTAGCTACCTATGGAGACAAAAGCCATCTTGTTTAGCAATCCCACTAACTCGATTCAAGTATTCAAAGACAGTAGCAACGGAAGCAACAAAGTCCGTATGATCCATGTTACTGTATCTTCTAAAAAGAGCTATCACTAACGATTTTTCAAACTGTATCTAACAGGTGCAGCATATTTATATGAAGCGAACATACACTAACAATACTATAAGAAAAACATACGTGCGATTTGTATAGTGATATATATATCACAATTGCCATACCAGAATGTCCAGGCTATACTGACTAGTTCAATTACTCCAGTCAGACCAATTATTTCATTGGTCATATTCACTGACAGCTCGGCGCAACTCCGCAGAAAGAAGAACCGAACGACAGCGATTCCAAGGAAAAATGAGGGCCTGCTTGCGCCGGTGGCCAGAAAGACTAGGGGCCTTTAAATCTCCGGTCACGTGGTACGTGCAATGTTCGTTTACCCTTTTCTATTTAGCTAGATGCCTGGCATACCGGTACCTGGGCAAACCACCTGTTTGCCATCATTTGGAATGTCTGGAATGCGGCACCAGCTGCTTACCGTTTTGCCCATCAACTCTTACCTTGGTGCTTACTAGGGGCAAGCTTTGTAGGAGTTACTCCTACCGTTTAATAACATTGGAAAAATGATCACAGTTAAATCTTGATACGAACTGCCTTCGATATAACGTCAGCGTAGCAATGTCTTCAACGAATTATGTACAACGGGTATTAGCGCAAATTATTCTTTATCTAATAAAGGCCTTAACAGACATTATACGCCGGCCAAAGCATTTTGTGATCTCTCTGTGAAACATGCAACAAAGCTACGGAAGATAAGAAAAGAAATAGAAGAAAGACATAAAATAGATCCATAATTACTGATCAACAGATACTAGCATCAGTGAGGAAACTAATGTTAGGTTTGAAATGCATTCTGCAAGTAATATTTAATATCCTCTGTATTAATTTTTATGTAATTAGTACTTAATATCTGAAAAGTCGAAAGCTAGTTACAAATTGAGTACACGGTACTAACAAAAAGGATCGAAATTTGTCAAAACATAGGTAACGAAATTATGAAAATGTCATAACCCCATAGACAATACATTAGCTATGGCTAATGTATTGTTATCTTATCCATAAGGATAAGAGTCATTCGTGTCCGTTGTGTTACTCAATACTGGACCAATAAAGCATTTAAAAATACGGAGATTTTTAAACCTGGACATCAGAGTAAAGGTTTGTATATTGTAGACGCAAGCACACTTTCAGTGTAGGAAACCCAAAAACGCAAGGGTCGGTCAATCGTATCGACTATATGTTTCATACCTCACGTACAGGTAGAATAGCATGACATAATCTGTTTTTCTCAACTTAAGTCAAGGATAGTCTACGGTAAAGTCCACTCAGAAACGACGTGGCAAGTCATCAAGTTTTGCCGAACCTGCAGCTATTACCGTCTAGTTAGTCAGCTAGTACCATCAATGCACAGGCTTATAGTTAGGAATAACTAAAAGAAGCTAAGGAGTGCAGTTTTACTCGTCTAGCAGGGGCCAATAACGTGCGTCCGCTCAGCTGATCAGTTCTGTTGTTTGTTATTGTTTAATTAAGTAGATGATGACATTCAATGCTTTAATGCAGAGCGAAAACATTGTCTGTAATGGACGTGTTATAGGGGCATCTCACTTCTACACACACACGGCCCAACTCTTTTGGCAGTCTATTGCCATGTACTTGTTATTGTTTTTGCTTTGCTTTATTTTACTCCCTGTCGATATTTGACGTATGTAATAAATCACGTCGTACGTAGTTTAACTAGTTATCATCTTAATTTATTGACATTTCAAATGAGCAAAATTATTGAAATAAAAAATAAATACAAAGTCGCAGTTATTTTTGTCTGCACCCACTCCACCCCAATTAGGTAATATATCGTATCGTATTTTATTTCCTAGCATATGTATACTACTCCGCCACTTTGCATTACTTTTTTAAAATATTATAGTTGTCCTTTAAGCACTCTATGGACTGATGTATTTACGGCTTTCATCAGTGCCGCAGGCAATTACACTGTAGTACAGCACAAAGGTTTTTTGAAACTTTCGGTCTTAATTTTTTTTTTTACCAACTAACTCTTATCGACTACTCGAGTTGAATATCGAAAACTTCTTCATTGGCCATTATTGAGAGTGAGTGAAATCTATATTGCTATAAACTATATATATAGCTATAAACTAACAAATTTAGTTTCCGTATAGTCTACCGTGTTTGTGAAACTAACAAATAAGTTTATAAGTGCAACTAGTAATTTCATAGGTAGTCATTGCAAATAATTTTTTGCAAAATTACACGTCGTAAACGATTACCTTTATCTAGCTTATTCTAACAGCACTAGTCGTCTATGCTTGCAGAGGTATCCATTTAGAATAACCGGCGAATGAGCAGGCTAGATGGCAAAGAAGATAATCAGTGGCGAGCTCAGTTAGTCGATGTCAAACCGTGCCTCTTTTTGAGAGTGTACATAGCAAATCATTCACAAAAATATTGCTTATTTTCATATACACTGTGCGTTTTGCAAGCGACCATAATGTACATTCCACAATGACGTATATCACTCAGGTAGAAGTCTCATTTTGGCAAAAGAATATATCCGCCCACATCAGTCCACAATTATCAATGAGCTATGTAGTTATCAACTCTCATTAGTGAGCTAAATATAGGCTGTTTACACAGGCATCTCTCGCTTCCAGTCTTCTGTAGACTTTATTCGCTACTCAGTCACGAAACGTTCTAACTACGAAAACAGATCAAGTCAATGTAATTATAAATACATAGCTTTACCGGGGAGCGCACGGCCAGCATTGGGAACTTCAGTATTCTATAGATAGACTCTCACTTTCTTAGATGATCTTTAATAGATAGTAATAAATAGGCACAGTTATAGAGATACAGCAGTATTGTCCATTGACATACTAACATAAATTCAATTAGAGAAATAAGGATGACCGAAAAATCACGAGCAAACCATGGTAAATAACTAGGCACATAATACATCTTCTTTTTATATTTTCACAATTAGGCTAAGCAAGCCTGGAGTATGGCGAAGAAAAAAGAAATATTGTGATGACAAGTTTGGGCAGATACAAACACGAGCCAATTGCTTTAACATAATTCAATAAACGGACTTATCGTAGGATTTCTAACTGCGCCAGCACCGACGTAACATCGAAAATCAGAGATTATTCACTAATAGTCAAGTAATGCATCGCAAATTGGGCCCGATGGATCGATCTCCTCTGAAGGATTGTTTTCTAGATCCTCAATGTCCTTGAGGAGGTCAGCGGTGTACTCGCATTTCAAAGGATTCCTGACACCATGAATGCTACAGTCATGTCTGACGGGACATCTGCTCATGACAAAAAAAAAACGTGCACATTAGGATGAAACTTTCTCTACTTGCGTGTTCGAATTCTAGACAGTTAACATTTTTGTTAATAGAATCAAACCTTATTTTCGACATATATTTAATAAAGATAGCAATAATGGACCACTATAATGAATGTTAATTAGAATACAATATAAATATATGATATAACACGCATTAAAGCCCGTCAGTTAACCACATTTCGTAAGCAATATCCTCCTTGACAGCCCTGGACACGACTTTGAGCATCCAAATTCTATGACGAGTGCTTTACGAACATGCTACATCTTGGCAGTAATTGTCCTTATTTTAACAGCCTATCTCTTACATGCATACCAACATGTAGCTGATATCTTGCTGCCATCTGAAGCTCAAAATTTAGCCCAACTCTGACCCTAAAGACATTTCCTGTTCACTTACGTACAAACCACTGCCCCGCATTAGCTTTACCTAAAGCCTCGATAGAAGACGCGACATTTAGACGGATTCTTTGAGGGAATACATTCTAAAGATAAAGCACTTCATCATCTTTAAGCAGCAAATGCATCCCGTTTGTGCAGTCCACATTCTAAGCAGCTATTTCGTATTTCATCTTTTCCAAGCGGAATACATATTTAACATTAAAAACGAACATAGACTAACGTTTATATTGCAGTACTAACTATACCCAGACATAGCGACAGCAACTTCGGAGTTAGGCGTAGGTGAGTGCTGATATAGATCAAACTGACCCTTATTAATTAAACGCAGCACAAACCCTATGAATGATCTATGACGATTAATTTTGTTCTCTTTGATATTATTTTATCAAATAGGAAAAAATCGTTGAATTACTATAGTTATCTTAGATTTCTAATCCTAAAAGACTGGTCAACATAGTACTTGCCTCCCACATGCAATGTTGCATATGGCCATCGGGCTCTGATATAGAGAGTCGAGGGCAGCCCAGAGACAAAGATAGTCATTCGAATCTTTTAACTTCTCTGAACTAACCGAACGAACGACTTTCCCCTGGAACCGCAAAGTTCCGAGTATCACATTGATATCTTCCACGTCTAACTCGACCTTCGAAATCCCTGCAAGTGAAACAAGCGTCGTTAAGTATTGCTTACATATGAACAATTATTAAACTAAGCTGGTATGTATTCCATTTTTCTTACCTATCCATAGTACTCTTTCTCTGAAGAAAAGCTTTCTACCAAAAACTGCTCTTCATCAGAGGGGATGGAATGTAAAACCGAGTTGAGCGCCAAACTGAATTTTCAAATAGAGTAAGAGCTTGCTTTATCCGTTCCTTCAGGAAGTCTGTTAACATAATACTAGCTCCTTTTGAATGCATATTTTGATAAAGCTAATTGGCGTGTAAGTTGACCTGATGTTTTAGAATTTCGAATGCACACTTACCAAGTTGTTTGATAAAGCTCCAAACCTCCTTTGTGCTTGCGACCGAATTATTCCGCATATTTACCACGTCATCTTGGTACTTCTCCGCAGCATTTTTCCCTTTATGTGCCTGTAATGGTTATATGCTATATAAGGAAGTTTGAAAACTAAATTTCGTAAATTCAGCTTCCAGTGGTAATATACTTATCATATGCATTTCTATCGTGTAGTCTTTATAAAATAAAATATAGCGTTTTTTTTTATTTAATAAAAACACAGATTTATTATGTGTCCGCCGTTAGTCTCTACAATATTTTCTTATCTCTCAGTCAATATATTTATTGTATCTCACCCGACAATTTAAGGGTAGTGTTGAAGAGCTCATCCAGCCAGTTTTAAAGACCCAGATCTTTTTATTGTTAAATACACGCTTAAAAATTTCGTTCGTCATAATCGAAGAGGATATTTTGTTTCGAAGAGGAGGTTTGGAAAATGTCTGGCTGCAAAAAACCTCCCACCTCAGAACTAGCGGGACTGCTTTAACGGCTCTTGTCATGTGTGTTTTGGTATCATCGTGGAGAACGTTAACTGCATTGTTTATCAGACCTCTTCAATTAGGTAGTCTCATTCACTTGATGCAACCAAGGCGTTATGGTTCTTAGCTATTGCATTGTTTGTTTTCGTCAAACATTTTGTAGCGTGTGAGTTCTTCCAGTCTTATCAAACACAGATCAGGGTCTCTCTAAAACGGAAATCCTGCTTAACTATGGGCCAGAATACCCATTCCTTTCTCTGCTTCACGTCAACATAGAGGTACACATTGCATGGCACTCGTAATCATTCTGAGCAAGATTTTTTCATTATGGCTACGTGTTGCTGGTGCCAGGCCAATAAAAAGCTTTTATAAATATAATAATAAATAATAAAAATGTTTTTCCGTGTTCTGCGCTCATTATATGGAACAACCAAGGTCTTAATTTTTAAGCAAATTCCTCTGATTCAATATGTATGTCGATGGCCTTATGACTGCAATTCGTCTTCGAGGCCAATTCAGGAGCTGTTTTCTGGCCGTTTTCCTTTGAAAATGGCTTTTGCTCTCCACCTGCCTCGGATAATCATTATTAAATCTCGCAAATCACCTTCGAGTAGTTCTCACAGAGACAAAACTTTTATTTGTGGCATAGATATTTTTTTGCAGTTTTTTGATTTTGGCAATGAGAAAACTAGAGTAGGTTTCGAAAATGTACTTTTTTTTTTTATCAGGTACGTTTATTCCTGGAGCCAAGAAGGACGACCATTATTTGTGGTCTAATGTTTGATATTTGACCTGATATTTGATCAACGTTAGAAATACGTCGATAAAGAATGCGGTGACATATGGAGAATCCTGATCTCTCCGTAACGTCAGCGATTACTGGTTTGCCCTGCAGACGTCGAAGCTGCTGCAAATCTGTAGCTAGTAAATGTCGACCTTTACAGAAGGAATGAAAAAGCATGCCATTTTATTCGAACTACCTTAGCTATTGCAGGGTCATTTTAAAACTGAGCGTTCTAAGCGCTGGCTTACTTTTCCATGATAGCATTTTTCAATTAATTCAAGGTCAATCGGCTCTACTGCTTAGAAACTCGTTTTTAATATATATATTATTATTGTCCCAAATAACAATTTCATATTGACGTTTGCCGAATAACATAAATTATTACAGAATTAACTTTCGTGTCGTCTTTCTAGTAACACTATTAAAGTATTAATACTGTCGTTTTCACTTGCACAGTTAACAGACACTAAAAGAAGATAAGTAGATAATGATACGTTTGTCAATCACAAAAAGCGTGTAGCGAATACACACAGAACAGGACCCTCTAGCAGTAAACGTCGTAGGATAGACTGGAATTGGCATTTAACCATCTGAATGTAGACACAGCTATTAAACATAGATGAAGCGTCTTTAATGGCGCGTCGAAAGATTCAATTCAAATTAGTTAAGCCACTGTCGGCGCTGTCAAGCTACAACCAGCGTAGTCATACTAATAAACATCTACTAGCGATACATATTTAAAAAAAAAAATTTTAGCGTGATGTAGGTCATTCTTACAGAGTGACTTAACAACTACTACCGCCATAATCGGCTTACCAACATGCCTGTTCTTTCTAGCATCCATATTTATGTACTACAATACTTTCGATTTCAGTCAAGTCTGTTGAGTAGCAGCTGAAAGCAATTTTTCTCAATTTCAGATCGAATCGAACGATATGAAATCATCGCCTCCCACGCGTGAATGCGCATGTGTCATCACAGATTGACAACCTCTTTTGACGAGTTCAGTGCCCATAATGCCGACTATCACCCGTTGAGTGTTAAAGTTGCCATGGTAATCCGTGTGCTAAGCAACGCACACGATTGTCACATGAGATCTCCACCGATACGAAACCCAATTTGTGTGATTTGCTTTGCTCAGATTGAAGACAGAAAACGCCTCACAGACAAAAAAAGGAGGCGTTCATCGACTTTCATGCTTTATAAATGCAACAACCAAGCTATCAAGTTTTTTTCAAAAATTTTATCCGCCATACGATAACATGACAAGTGCAGTTTTTTCATGTAAACGCACATATAATTTCAGTTACAACGGAAACTTGTGTGTTTCGTTTGACTCAGGACGCTTCAGCACTACTAGAAACTTAAGAGCTAATTCACTAAATAAACTCACTAGAAATCTATAGCATTGCTGCTGTAGAATCTCCACAAACTCGGACTCGAACTCCTGGCCAGAGTACCAGGCGCCGCCAGTTACTGACCTGTCAGGCTCCAATTCGTATAGCATATACAACCTCTTCTTTGAAGCCGACACGGACTTAACGACTTTAATCAGCTTCTTAGCTGGCGACAGAAAATGAACAGATGAATGAAAATTAAAAAAAGGGTAATAGGGACCCGTAGTTTTTTCTAATTATAGTTAACAGAAGATTAACTCCATTTTATACTCCATTTATAAAACAATTTGACAAAACAAATGTATAAGCACGCTGCTTTATTTTCACTAAGATAAAGCATACAAAATAAGGCTTACTTTCGAGGTTCTTGAGGACTTTATTAAGTTGAGGGAGAACCAGGCCTGAAAACGAGCGGATATCTCGAACCCAAATTCCTTTGTTGCCAGCTCGTTCGATCACTTGAAACACAACACGCTCGTCTTTGTCACAGCCTTTTGTCCTGTCCTGATTCACATATCTTGAAAATAACAAATAGAAAAACCACCGAGTGACAACGTATAACGGCGCGCACTATCTGCGCTTGGATGTAATTAAGTAATTTATCCTACTCAATCACTAATAATAGTAATAACAGTAAGATAAATTCATGAGATTGAAACTCTGAGTCAATCGTGCAGCGTATACTGTGTCAAATATCCTCAATAAGACGAAAAACAAATGCCGTTACAGCTAGCCTAATGAGCTAATTATTCCTATTTCGCAGAACTATGCCTTATATTTTGAAGCCGTTCATGCGTGTACGGGTTACGCCGCCAGAAGTACGATTAAAAAACTCAAAAGATAATACTATAGAAACTTTGCACCTCTGCAGGCCATGGCCAGTGCTTATTGCTGCGTCCCGGGATAATTAATTGAATGTAAAGCAGATACTAAAGATATATTCTATTGGTGCTAATCGATTATGCTGTATGATCTCATCTGAATACTGCCATAGGTTACTGTTCACAGAAGATTTATGTATACATCCACGTGGCCAAAGCGGAATAGCCTGAGGCAGTTATTTTAGTTTATCCTCTGAAAGGTTCGAGTGACTTCCACCAACTCGATCACCATAAGGACCGAAATATTTTGCACTCTGACCCTACTATAGCAATGCACTTATTAGCTCTAAGGGTATGTTCATGCCTAGCTGATTCATATGAATACCATTGCATAACGGTCTCTCTCGAAGGAGCTAGGCGCTTCATTCTAAAGCTCCCTACCAACGTTACACACGCGAAATTGAAATTCGGAAAAAATACAGCCGTAATAAGAGGCTATGGCTACCTCCTAGACCAACAATTAATCCGGTGGCTATGCAATCAATCTTCAAGTTACATGCCACATAAAACAGTGCACCCTTACCTGATAATGGCTAGTCAATGGCCAGGCTAAAGTTTTTTTTCCCGAAATAGATCAGTTCTGACCCAATTTAAGTGATTTAATGAATGGCAGACTATTGCAATGATCAACCGTCATGTTAGTTCAAACCGATTATAATTATTCTTCTCAATTTTTATCATGTGTACAGAAATCTGTACACATGTGTGCGAGCTTGGGGCGCTATTGCTGACTGCTAGTCATTATTTTCGTATGCATATCAAATTCAAATAGAACATTTTTTAGCAAGTTTTAAACCTGGCTAAGCCTATAAACGTCATCTCTCGCTAATAAGAACTTCCGTGCAGTAGCTTGGAGAACAGAGCTTCTGACTATATCGGAGAGAGTTAAAATCCAAAACTAACAACATGTCTAATGCGAATAATAATAAATATGCAAAAAACATCATGGTTATGCACGTTGAAAATCACCTACTACGTTTGACCAAATTCATAATTTAAAGCAAAGCATCCGTGGGTCCTTCAGTTACATCTTTACTCTAAATTATGACAGTGAAACAGGTAAAATTTTCTAAATTTAAAAACGCCAAAATTTACACAATAACGACACATTACAATCATCGCATTAGAACCGAGCATCTTCAAATCTAAAAAGTCACCTATAAACAAGTGTTCCACCCTGTTTAAGAATCTCAATTTTGCCTTTAGAGAGAAGTTTGTTGATTGCATTTACACGTTGAGCCGGAGTTACGTTTGGCATTGCCACCTGTAACGATAGAAAGATACAGAATCTATTAGGCTAAAAAATACTCTTACAATAGAACCTATAAACAATAAAAAAAATTCGAAGTAGAAAGCCACCTTTTGAAGTGTCGACAAATATTCTTAGGTCCATAAAACAGAGGTTTACATTTATTTTAGGAGACTTTTTTAACATTGAACTTTTAGCTAACTAATGAGAAATCAGCAGAGAATCTGCTAAACTCATGTGAGGTTCGTGCGGTGTGTCACTTTTCTAGTATATACAATTACTCCTCATAAGTTTTCATTTCAGGTCTATACATCTTATACGTTTGAGGGCAGAGCCAAATTGATCTTATAGTTATATGGAAATAGTTAAGCTATTTTACTTTTTAAATCGACCAGACCTATTGAGTAGGGTGTTTGTTTGGTTCAGCTGCGTGGCTTCCTATTTCGGTGACATTCTCGTTGACAACGAACTCAATCGAGCTAACGATATATGTCCAATGAGTTCAGTCGAGTAAGGTTTGGCGAGCCTTAAGAAATATTGAGCCAACTAGTGCCCGCTACAGGTCGCTAATAATAAATTCACTCAATTCTACAACGGCTATTGGCGTGGCGAACAAATAGTTTGTGGAACCAAAATAAAATAATTGTTCACGCCGGCTTCAGAAGGTGTTTTTTCAGAGAAGGTAATCTGATTTTTGCCGTGCATATTCCGTTATCAAATTGTTGTTTCCTTTTGACCATTTTTAAACGAAGACATAGACTCTGGCTTCTTTTGTGGCTTAATTGGTTTCTTTTGTTCAGGTAAGTTCTTCTTTTTTTGCATGTTGGTATGTCAATATCGACAGCCATGTCCTTGTATTGATCAAATACTGTTGGTCACATGTAATATATCCTGGTCTATCACATAGACAGTTCTTTGATAAAAAGGTATTCGCAAAGAAAGCCACAGAGTAGAAACGCGGTATACTCAGGCTGCTATCTAGGCTTTCCTGCTTCTCATATGTTTGTATATGGGCCGTTTAGACGTCGACGTGTCTAGTATTTGTTCAACTAATGCAGAGCCATCTTTTGCTGCAATCCGTTAGCATGCAGCCTTCTTCATAATATGCTGATATACTTGGAAAACCATATTACCTCCATGGAGTTCTGTAGTTAACTTTAAACCCGTTGGTATTCTAAGTTAATATAATGGCCTATTTGGCTAGTAAAATCAAACAAATGCGAACCGAAGGCTTGTAATCGATACTTCGATTGCTAAATAGGCTGGCCGTTTTTGAAATGAAGCCTCTCTTAATAAAATTTAAATATCCTGCAAACACATTGTTATGAAGACGCATTGCATAAGGATAACCTATACATCTTACCTAATAATCCAGCGCCGTCGTTTGCACACATTTGATTATCATTTCACACTTCTACACGAAAATTTTAAACCTGATAAACACTGACGAGATTACTGCCTTAATTTTAACAACGAACGGCCAGACAGAAGAGGCGGTCGTGCTTTTAAAAAAAATGTTATCTGCAAATAGACCGCATTATATAGTATCCCATTACATTCAGAGGAACTCCATACGCACAGAGTCATTATGCTGTAAAACACAGTAGATGGACAGATAAGTACAAATTAATTATTTTAACATGCTTATTAAACTATTACCAAAAAATAAGTCAACTACTATACTACTACGAACAAAAAAAAATTACCAGAAGCAGTCTAACATAAATTGGGCAAAACATGAACATACAAAGCTTCTCTTAGAAAAGGAACATATACCTCAAATTGTAGCTGACAGCACTACCTGTAAGCAGTACTCAAACATAGTATGTTTACATATTATTTTTGTATTATATACAAACAGGTAGGTACATTTTTTTTCGTTCAGGATAAGCTACTATTTTTTCCTTGTTAGTAAAAATAGTATTATTGAACGCGTTTACTGAAGGGACAACTACCGAGTACGATAATAGAGTTCAAACTATATATTATAATTTGCTCATTTCCGCCTCATCCATACAAGGTGATTTTCTTACTAATAAGGGTGCTCGGTAGCTTTCTACTGAACACAAAACTGTCCTATGAGAAGGTAGAGATAGAATGGTGGAACAGACTTATATTAGAATATTTTTTCGCTCGTAATGGTGGATCACCTCAACACTCCTCGAATATCTTCAAACTAGGACATAATAATAGTTGGGCGTTTTCTGAACCAAAATTCGCAATTCTATGCTTGGACGGAGGTTTGGAAAGAAGAAAATCTATAAACGAATAATGCCATTAACATTGAATAGCTCCAAATAGGTATACAAAGGTTTTCTGTAAAATTTCTTCTTGTTCTTATCTTATCAAGATGTATCAAATAAATTGAATTAATAACCTCTTGCACCAAATTGCCATCGACAATAACTTCCACGCCATTCGAAGCTTATACGACAGGCTGAAACCACAGTTGTGTAATGATATGGCATTGTGGCTTCCATAATTCATTAAAATACGAAGGTAAATGCATGTCTGGAAAAAAAACAGCATCAGGTTGTATTTTATACATTACCACTAAGTCATAGGGCTGCTCACTCTCAGCGGCTTATACAAAATATTATGATGCAAACGGTGCGTAATTTCAGAAATACGACGTTTCATTATTTGTATAGCACACAAAACGCATTTAAAATTTTAAAAAACATCACTTGAATTAGAAATTGACAATGTTTTCTTTTCATTAGGGCTTGAGCTGATATAGTAGAATTAAGAGACTAGTAGCGTTGTTAAATGATACAATTTAAAAATTTAGGTTCCATCTCCAAGAAACTATTTTCGACAAGTGAGTCGTAGGAAAATAATGGAGTTGTTACGGAGTTAAAACCTACAGCGCTAATTATTTGTAAAAATTTTAAATAAAAAAGGACTCTGGTGAGAAGGTTTAACATTTCCAACCTAAATAAATACAATAACAAATAAAAAAACCTAAGTAAATACGCTAACAAATTAGACGATTCATATGTAAGTCAGGTTATAACAGCCATATTTTAGTACCATATAGAACTGAAACAAAATGCATTGTAGTTTAAATCGTATGTAGTAAACCAAACATCAAAATGGGTTTATTATTGAAGAAAATAATCAGATGATGTCAATGCTATGTACATGATTTCAATATAAACTGAAAAAGATGACACGAGTTCGCAATTAAATTGTATGTCCGGTTTAGAACCATTTTATGGGTCCCTACATGTGGTAGGTTAACGCTTTATTAATACACCATCACGGGGGCGGGCCTGCAATTATACGTTACAAACCTTCATAATACTTTCGTTGATTCCCTCTTTTTGGCCCTCAACGAGTTTCATTATAGTCTCCTCGATTTCTTGAGCATTCGTTGCTTCCACAGGTTCCGGCTTTGGAAGGCCCGCATTCATGCCTCCATTTGCCTCAGCAGTCTCTGCAGGCGCCGCGGCTGCCGACGTTCCCGGCTCTTGTTTAATGCGTTTCGTCGGTGGTGGCATATTTAATTAAATTGCAGCTCTACCTGAAATACACAATATTTATATACGATGTAAATGATTATGTCCGAAATGTCTTCTATTAACTTAAGTTTAGTATTATCCAATTAAACATTGACGACGGTATCTGCGGCGGTATTCGAGATTTGCCTTGACCATCACTCTAGCCTATGCCTGCAAAGCACGGGCTTCACTTAATTATCGGAGTAAATAACATAATACTAAATCGAATTATCCAAATTAATTAATATATGCATATTCCGTTCCTTTATAGCAGTTCAAAAAATTCACTTATTATTACAATTATTATTTAAAAATAAAAATAAATCATGACATTTCTTCCATGTTTTCCTTAACGAATTTTTCGTATATATAATCTGTCCACAAAGCATATAGCGTAACAGAAGTTATAGAGGGAGCATATGATAACTGCATCTGCATATTGATATCCAAAGCAATTCTCAAAAATTTACATCAAAACGGCTAAAAGCCGTTTGTAAAAGATATCTCTCCCTGGATAGAGCGACAAACGTATCTGATTGAACTGTCGAAACTTCTCGATCAAAAACCCTTTTCATAGTGATATAGCGAAAACAAACGTTTGCCCGTGAACCAAAAGTGCTAATCTCTCTAATCCCCGTTTTATGTATAAGAACACCATCGTTTCTCGCTACAACTTATTAGCTAAAATTGATCACTCGTAAAGACCCGTGAAGTGACACCTTATAACTAACAAATTATTAGAATAGTATTGGATTATTAAAACGTTGTACAGCTGTCAGGGCACCCACTTTGTCGGGCTACTCAAAATGCACACGGTTTTGGAAATAATAAGGCCGTAGCACTTACAAACTAGCTTCTGCTTACCTTTTTAAATAGTTAAATTGTTTGCGCGTATCTTAACACAACAGAAATGGCACTTTACAAACGATATTTCATTTTAGCACTGTGGTCACTAATTTACTTTTACCTAGACCCAAACATCCTTGTCACTGCAATCGTATGATGCGGAATTTTTCAAGCACTATTTAACTATCTATATGCAAATATCAACCCATTATATTGCATTTCCTCAATAACGCGCACACACCATGTACAAACGACAACACAGCTCTTTGGGAAACAGTACACCACAAATTTTCATCTTCTGTCGCGAACAGAAATTCGATTCTCGTTTACATTTCATATTCACGTTTTGGTCTGCTTTGACCACGTCACAGTACGCTGAATGAAATAGATATATTTAAACGAAATCTCGGGATTTTTTACGGTTGCGTTACGCGACCTGTATTGAATATCAGAAATTCTAGCGTCATTCAATTTGATTGATTTCACCAGTCAGTTCCTAAAGTAACACTTCGTAGAAACATCGATCAACAGTGCTTCACCGATATAACGAAAGCGCGCTGTCCCTTTCACACGTGCGCTCTCAATCAGCTGGTTTATACGACCAAAACAAAGGCTAACAATGAAACTCGTTTATTCTGTCGTAACCCGGAACGAGACACTAACCTTACCGCCAAATTTAAAAAAAGTCCAAATTAATCACTGATAACAGGTAGACGAAAATCTTCGTATAGCCTTAATATCACCACGGTTTAAATACCATCAAGTACCAAAGTTCAAAACGTACCAGCATCGTGATGCGAAACATTTGTTACTCCGCTGGCGAGGCTGAAAATTATCCTCTAAATCGAGGCCATCGTCTGCTAGATGCTTCTGTTGACAAACCCGGTCCTACGCAGGAAGGTACTGACACAGCCAATCACGCACAAGCTTGCAAGTCTTGTTTTAAAGTGATATTGAACTAGCTTCCAAATCAAAACCCAAGAGCACGAGGTCAAGGCATTAGTGGCTGAGCGCCCTAGATGTTCTAGCTGTGAAGTATAGTCTGCAAAATAAATTCGCCCTCGGCCCTTTAAGAACAAAGAAATAATCAGGCAGGCACAGAAAGAACGAGGTACAGTACACTGCATAGGTGCAATAGCGGCAAAGTGGTGACCAACGAAGGGAGAGCGGGCAAGTCGATGAGCTCCTGGTAAACAGACGGCTAGGTGTCTTCGTGGCTGCAGCTGCTGGTGTTTTATGATACGCTGACTTGTCGCTGTTCGTCTGTCGGTTTGTCCCTGTGCGCCCTGGTAGAAGATACCGGAAAAAGCTTGTCGAGTGCCGCTGAGTTACTGCTGGCCACGACCTGTGTGAGGTAAGATGTCGATTTCTCATAGCGTTGTTATTTTAACGTTATCGTTTAATAGAAGATGTTTAGTATTGAATACGTCCAACACCCTGCATGTGAATAGAGTAGCTGATCTAAATATATAAGATTTAAAAAGGCGCTTTAACGGTTACCCGCGATAAATTAAATGTGCAGTACGATGGACTAACAGTTGACCGCGACATAGCAGCAATAATAGATTGAAGCCTATGACGCGCTGCTGTTTTGTAGCAATTTTGAGATCGGTTATGGAGTGCTTCCATCCTAATTATTCAGAAATTAGATACCCGCAGAATTGTCAGTGTGTCTGTGACACTACATATACAGGTGTGAAAGTGCAAAGTGTATTAGTGTAGATGCACTGAAACGCCGGCTCTCCTGTCGAAAACTAGAACGCAGACGTATCCAAAGGCTCACCACATATTTTGCCGTCTACTATCGTCTGCTGACAAATTGATCGAGTGCTGGCTCGAAGCTGCTGGCAGGTATGAATCATCTGTCGTTCTTGCGTCTTCGGATTTATGTTTGTCATCAGCTGAAATCGTCGTTGAGTCAGAGGCTGGCAGTGGTGGTGATGATGAGAATCAGCTCCAAGCTACTTCCCATTGTATCAGTGTGTACTTAGAGCTGATAGAAGAGAGTAAAAGAAACCAGGTAAAACTTGGTTACTTACATGGTTGTTACCTATGTACATTAACTGACCGTTTTAGTTAATTAACAATACTAGTGACCTCACTGAGCGAACTAACACATGCGCATGTGCATTATGAATGAGCCATCCACATTCATGCTTATACGTCTGTCCAAGATTGTAGAATTGTTATGTTAGGCAACAGCAAGTAAAAAGTTATTGTTCGTCCCTGTTTTTTTTTTTATTAACGTGGAGGATAATTTTCGCTGTTACTAATTTTGACGATTTAATTCTGCCAACCGGTGTTCAATACACACGGCATATGAGACTACATGTAAGAACGTAAATGTCAAAAACGATTATGCTAATCATGTGTATACCTCATAAATTCACTGCTATTAATCTGATTAAATGCGTATGGTATTTATAAATACATAACCCGGAAAAATATTCTCCGTTATCGACTAGTCGCGTGTTAATTCAAAGCCATTTCTGCAGCAACTTTAATAACTCTACTCTTTCGCTGCCGTTTTCAGACATCATGGACTGGTTCGAGGGGGGCATCGCTGAGGCGATCTCGGCAGCACAGCATGATGATAAAATTATGACAATTTTTGTGTATGGTAGGTAGCCTTTTAGGCCAATGGCAGACGAAAAAAGATGGCAAGTATTTGGATGGGATTTGGTATGGTATTTGGGATGGTATTTGAATACACATGGGAAAAACAGTACTGGGTTAGTTTGTACGTTGCAGCTTGTTTAGTTCATTTATGTAATGGAGGGCATCACAGTAATGCTCCTATTGTATTGGCGAAAAAAAGATTACCTTCAGTAGATATGCTAGACAGGTGAGTTAGATTATCACGTTATTATTATTATCCTGCTGATATGTTTTGGACACTCTGTTCGGCTGATTAGGTGAAAACCAAGAGTCAGAGCAACTCTCATCAGCTCTGGCAGCACCGTTGCTGGCGCCATTGGTTCCTCGATTAATGGCCCTTCGCTTGAAGCAACCTTCCACTGAGCTAACACAATTTGCCCAGATTTATCCAGTTCTGATTGTACCATCTATCTACCTAATCTGCCCGAAAAGCGGCGTAGCGCTTGAAGTGTTAGCGGGTGTGCAGTCGGCCGATTCTTTACTGGACAAAATTTCAAAGGTGTGTTAAACATGTGTAACTATACGACCATAATAATAATGATAACAAAGAATGTTGCTCTCTGTTGTAACAATAAACCTATTCGAATGTTCTCAATCTTAACAGGCTGAAAATATCATATATATTGATGTGTTTCATAAATACATATGTGTGCCATCATAAATACATAACCTAAGTGGATGCTCTAAGCTACTCTCATAGCTCCCAAGTTCTTGTTATTTTATGTTAGCTAAGTAAATAGATGTGTATGCGCTTTTTTTATTTGTTATTATATTTTATAAATTTGCGTTATTTTTGCCTTCTATGGGCAGGGATTCACTGATAGCGATATTATAGATTGCCAGGAATTTGACAAATAACTTTATAATCCAATAACACAATATCGTAGGTATTGAAAGCTCGAGAGGAACTTGCTACGCAATGTCCAACAGTTTCACCGGCTGGAGAGGTTGTCTCAACGCCGCTCACTTCCGAGATGGATACGGCTGGAGATGGTATGGCCTCAACTGAAGAAAATTCTGTTGAAACTTGCACGGAATTTTCTGTATCAAATGGAGAAGCCACCTCTATGGAAGATAAAGTTAAGAGGTGAGACACGATTGGATTTCGCCGTAATGGCGAGATCTGATGCATTTTAATTAGACTAGCAGGATCTTGTTATTTTCTGTGTCAATACAATTGGTACAACAAAAGAACATAGAGTCGGAAGTTCTTTTATGTTATCGGATGTCATCTGTGACAGAATTGGGACCATCTGTTATTCCGGTGGGGATTCTACCCTAACTAAGTATTGTCCTTCATGTATGGGTTATGAATTTTCAGATAGACAAAAAGGATGCGAACTTTATATAAGGCACTAAAAACTCGTGGTGAATTCGTGATGAAATGATATAGTTCAGTGAACAGAACATTATTATAGATGGGATTGACGGGTGGCGATATTTATTTTACCTCTCAAGACTGAAATTTGTCATCGGACCATATATAATGGGACACAAAGAATTGCTTCGATTGAGAAACCAAATATTTCTAAAGGTTAATTGTCAAAAAAAGGCAGGTGGAAGTAGTGGCGTTTTAGCTTTAAAATTGGATTGGTAAAATATTGTGATTTATTGGCAGTAGTCTTATCGCAAGTACGTAATCTTTTTCTCGTTTATTAAGCATAATTTAGATATCCATTTAGGTTAGCAGATTTTGCAGGCTTATGTTTATAGTGTAGTAATATACTATTTTAAGTCGGCTTTATGTTGGAATTGGAAAAGTGGAGTTATTAGTTCCGATGAGTGTTTGATTTGCATAGCAAATTTTGTTAGTGCAAGCGTTCGAAATTGAATGAAATGTGTTTTGGATCTTTTTGGACGGCTTTTGAAACTCTCCAGTCGCAATCAAATCTCTAAATCATTTCATTACATTTGTATGCAATAAAGCAGTTTACAAATGCGCTTTATATGTGGTATTATAGCGTTTGTTGAAAGACTGGAGATAGAAGGTTGCTTATAAGGAAAATAGAAGGCTTCTGAATCAACGTATACTTTACAACTTTGTGCAGCAGCTTTGTGGAACGCCATCACCTTGTAGTACTATGGTTTGCCAGCAAGCTTTCAAAGTCTAGAAAGTCACATTTTAGTGGAGGTGATTTGTAAACTTAATACCAGGCTTGAGTGTCGGTGTAAGTGTGGCTAATGTTTCTAGAACCCTTAACTGAGAGAGCCTACATTTGGACCGCCATCAACGAAATCAGCCTACAAAAGCGACGCATTATTCACGGCGTACGGAGTTCTGTCTTTCTCCTAGTTCAAGCGAGCATTTTTGAACCTGTCAGATCATCTTCACACGCGAGTTCACGTTTAATTCACATAATGTGCACTGCCGCTAAGCTGAAAACACTTTTCAGTTTAGCGGCAGTTTTTCAGCTTAGATACATCTAAGCTGAAAAAACATCTACCAATTATAGGAAAATACCAGCTAGAACCAAAAGAAATGTATTTTAGTATTCTCCAAGGAAAGCTAGTTTTAATGTTTTGCTAATCTAAATGTCGAATTTTAAGAATATATTAAGCAATAGCAATATGTGCTAAACGGGAAAAACGAACGGTTAAGGTCAAGAACTAAGAAATCTACTTACGATTTAAAAAAAACCGCTACATAACCATCATCTTTTAGACTTGAAACCGTAAACCCCAGATACCATGATTTCCTTAAAAATATTGCTATAATACTATGTAGACCTCACTATTCAGTAGAAGGCGTTCTGATTTGTTATCCATAATCGTGCTTTCCCCCAGAGCACAACGACTTATCGAAGCCGTTCGCCAAGGAAAAGCAGAGGCACAAAAAGCAGAAGAACAACGCAAAGAAATCGAAAGACGTGAGGCTATGAAAAATTTACAGAAAATCCGCAGAGAGATGGAGGATCGCGAAATAAAAAATTTTGTTGAAGAGCGTAACAAGGAACGCGAAGAGGAAAAGAGGTGAATACATTGAAGACAAAATATGATTTTTTATGTATGGATTAAAACATTTAATTTGATTCGATAAATTCTTTTTCGATTAGAGGTATTGGAAATTATTCAATGCTTACCGCTACTGGCATTCCATTTTCTTCGCACAATAAACCATTTTTCTATGGAGTTACCGACCAATGTGTTCACTTGCAAAATAACACAATATAAGCTTCAGACATTTTGATAGGTGTAATTTTTTCTCTTTTGTAGTTGCACTTCAACATATATACTGTAACTATGCAGTTATTTTACAAAAGATAGCTTCCCACTTAAGTGGTGCGTTAACGAAATTTATGGTCGGCATGCAGGTATAAAGCACAACTTCAGGAGCAAATCCGGCAGGACCGGTTAGAACGGCAGCAGAAGTTTGCAGCACATCGAGAACCGGTGAAGGCTGATGAACAAAAAAGACGGAGGGAGGCTCTCGAGAAGCAGGAAGAGACGCAGAGGCTTCGAGCTCAAAATGCTTCGTCAGCAAATATCCTTTTTAGGATGCCTGATGGCAGCACTGTTACTCATTTGTTCGAAGCTGAAACTCCTTTTATCGAGGTTTGTGTTGTCGTATGTAACTTTTACCTGTAAGAAAGCTAATATTTACCATTTTGATGATCCGCTTTTAAGAAAAATTACATACTGACCGTTTTGACTTTAAGTGTATCCCACGACATTATCTGTCTTTAAATTAATATAAGGGCTTCACATATGTATACCTTGTCTTAAAAGTCAGACAAAAATGCGATGACATGCATATGAAACATAATGTTATCATAAGAGGATGTCGATGACGATATTAATCATGTTAAGATTGAATGTCGAAAAAAGACATCTGAATTTCCGAAAATATTAACGTTTAGGAACAAAATTATTTCTTTTAGGTTCGACAATACATCGCAGATGCAAAACGTCTTTCGGGTAGTTTTAATTTGGCACTCAACTTCCCTCGGAAAGTATTCAAACCTGACTGCGATCAGAAGACGCTTCGGGACCTTAGCCTAGCACCTAGCGCAGTTCTTCTTGTTATAGCGGTTAGTTCTTAGTTAATTTGCCATATGCACTTCACGGTTATACATTTCTGTAGTCATTTCGAGATCAAACCGTAGTAAACACACTGTGGACCTAAAAATCACAAATAGCAACAATAATTTTTCTACGTGCAGTTGATCATTTAATTTCCGCACTTGTCGTATCTAAACTCGACGAAAAGTTTTGATACCAATTTAATTGACTTGCGTGGATAGTACGCATCGCCACTATACGGGTCAACTTTAATAAGTGTATATTTTACGAACAAAGCACGAGTATCGTTGCCAAATTTCTATAGACCAATTGTTAGAGAAATTAGAGACTTACTTGACTCAATCTAAGGGAAAGAAAATAACGGATGTTTGAGGAAGAAATACTATAATAATAAAAAACTTTTATATTGCATTATTTTTGCTTATTAGAGGACGCAGCCAGGTCGTGGCGCTGCCGGAGGCGCTGGTGGAGGTGCTGTGACGGCATGGCGGAATATTTGGGATATCATTGTTTTGCCTTTTACCTTAGCCATGGGTTTTTTCACTTCGTTTTTCGCTGCGCTATTTCCTTCAACTACTCCACCGGCTGCTGTCGCAAGTCGTCCACAGCAAGAGGCCTCGATGCCTAATACGCCTCCAGGAGTAGCATCTGCGACGCCTCATGATGCTCCCGGAGCATCCAGGTAAGCTTCACGTTTATGATGCTAACGTCTTTTTACATATTTTTTTTTTCTCTTTATGTAATGCCTCTAAGTTCAACGGATTGTGCTCTTGAAAGTAATTAAATAACATGGTGTCATCCCCGCGACGGTGCAGTGGTAACGTGTTTGCCTACTAAAGGTATAAGATGGGATCGTGTGTGTTTGGATATAAAACTAGGAACATATATATGCACCATGGTGTGAAATAGAAAGGTTAATGACATGTATTTAGACCGTTGCTCCATGTGAAACAGTTCCTTGAAGTGGCTGAGTGTTAAGTTCACTATTGTGGAAGTACGTGCGCTGCATAATTATAATTTCTACATGTATTTATAAATTATTTTATTATACGATAACATATGTAAAAGCCAATTCACATGCCTAATTTGTCAACACGGTACATTTGTGAAGTATCATGCCTGTATGTGCGTTTAACCATGACCAGCTACCTATCCTATCGCAATACTTGAAATCTTTGCGATTTTCAGGGCTCGTGTACCGGGTACTGGTTCATCTCTGCGCCAGCGAAAACCGTACGAACGTAGTGGGAATATCCATCGGTTGAATACAGACAATGATGATTCCGATGAGAACAATACTTGGAACGGCAATTCTACTCAACAGATGTAGATAAGCAATAGTTAATAGATTGCCTTGGACAACATGTGCAACACATAAGCATTTTGCCCCTTCGTAATGTTTCCGATATTTGTCTCTTGCTAGCCAAGCTAGACCGAGTCCAAAAAAAGGAATATTATGACTAAACGGCTTTATTGGGATATAACACGAAAATGCATTGATACATTGGCCACAAATAAGTGGCATGTCTTTGTGTTTTTTACATGCATATTATGGCAGCCGTCTGAACAGGCGAGACGTCCATGCGGACGACTAGAATACATACAAAAAAAGGTAATGGCAAGCACGTTCGTGGTAATCAAGAAGTAGGAAAACAAAGGATATATACTATACCACGGGAGATGCATAAATTCATGGTATATCTGCCATTGACCGGTACACTGTTATGGAAAATTAATAGGGTCTCTACAGTTAGGCAAAATAATAAATTTTCTTACCTCGAGAGAAATGAAAGGTCTAAGTTTAATCGGTAAGATATTTCCGGATTTGAACATATGAACAGCATATAGTAGCCCTTTCGTTTGTTTACTCAATGATTAGGACGAGAATATTATGTTACCATATTCTGGCTGGGAGTGCGTACGTCATTGAGAAACATAATATTTCCTACTCACTTCTGAGCAAACAAGGATATTAACAGTAAACCACAAATGTTTCAGATGAAATAGGTAATTAGTAAACTCTTTCACAGGTGGTTCCTTGTTTGTGATACACGGGGCATTGTTGTTTACTGTATCAGTGCTCCGAATGGACTACCAGAACCTATTAGTAATGGTGGTGCACAACTCGTACGTATAGTGTGTGTGTGTGTATATACATTCACACGGTACGTATGCCGAATTCAGAAAAGAAAAATGTCGAGTACCATATGATAAAATAATGAATTTCAAAACTATATTTAAACGTACAAATTTCTGTGAAGCCTAAACTGGCCCATGACGTAGTACTAAGGCGTTGCTGCCGCGCGACGAATATACTGCTATAGTTTTTACGAGATGTTGTGTTCTTTTTGATCGTAGAGGAGAGCGAGAACATCGAACACTTATGATTATTACTATTGTTATATGAGCTCTCAAAGGATATATATATATCACCATCAGTGAATGCTGGCTTTTTCGTGCCTTTTTTCCACCAATATCGCTAGTAGAGTGTGGCATGTGCAGATAGCGATATTTAACGATTTTGCGCACAGTGATGAAACACAGAAGAATATGGGTAGCGTGGAGAGTCGTGATGGGAACAATCTGTCCTGGTAAATCCCCCTTAAATGACTTTATGATATTCTATGTAACGAGAAAAAAGATTTGAAGAAGACGAACTTTTAAATTAAGCAGTGGTGCTAGGGCTGGTCTCTAGACGATATAAAAAAGGGAGGCTTAAATCAAAAAGCGGAGTACAACAGCGACTGAGAACAGATATTCTCGTAGCACGAGAAAGAGGATACGAAAGTTAAGCTTAATCAGAATAATTTCACCCAAAAAATCTAAGCGAAATAAAGATTTTTTGTTCATAAAGCTTCACTAATTGGTAGCTATTTATTTAGGTATTGGGTATAAAAATACATGTTCACTTAACCAGTAATGTTTAATATATGTTTGCGCTGCATATTTGCGCTATGTAAACATATACACATGTTATATACGACAATAAAATATATACGATGTTTATATAAACATCGTATATAGTTTTTGAACATACCTAGATTTAGGGTCGACGGTGTCAGTTTTAATTAGTGTTCTTAGTCAGTTGAATTAAGACTTTCATGCGTCCAGGACATCTGTCTATTAAAAAACCCGCGTAAAAAGCGGAAGTAAGACTCCTATGTACAATTTTTCGAATAACCTGAGTTTAATGCATCTCTCTGGCTCAGAAATTCAGGCCAGAAAAATCCATGGGTTTACCTAATGACCTTGGACTGATTGTGTTCATCAAAGTGCTATTTCCGTTTATTTAGAATGCTAAGAAAGGGCAGCGATCCGTTGTCAAGAGAAGAAAGTCTTTTGTGTGAAACCACTAGAACTTTAGTCAGCAAATACGCTAGAAGCCTGCCCTTTAATACTTCTTTGTCGACGACATTATTTTGAGCGGCAACGTATGATTCTTTTCACATTCTACAGCACTGGGTTTATGAATTATGAAGCACAAAATGTTCATATTATGCGAATATATATGATTATTAGAACCTGCACTAGTGATTCTCGCCCAAACATATCAATTTCCTTATTTGTAATTTCAATCATTAGTTGCATCTGCTTAATAAAAAATCCTGAGCTTCAGACTCGTTTCTTTGATTAAGAATAAGAAAATCATTATTTAATCAAAGCTCTAGGCAGAGTGAATAGAACAGGTGAAACTGTCACAAATTTACGACGCAGTACATCAGGGTTGAGAAGATCTATTGGAGAGTTACCCGCTATCAACAAAGCAAAAAGCGTGTGTAAAACCTGTATCCCATTTTCACTGTTTTTGTTAATGTCTGTTCGGATTTTACTATTTTGCCGCCCCTACGTTTTATCTGGCCTAACTACTTTTTTATTAATCGTGATTTACTCTTCAGTAATTCAAAATAGGCGCTACTTCGACTTTAATCATATGCCTTGTATGGGTGCCAGTACTCATATCCTATTTTGTCAGGAAATGCACTATAGCTGCATATTTGGTGCTTTTTAATCGTCTTCGTTGCTGTTATGATGAAATCCTATTAAACGTTTTGCATTTTAAAGTTAAGAAAGTCAACAATTGATTTAAAACCATATCCTATTTGGTGTATGGGTCACTTACTTCAGGTTGAGAGAGACCAGGAGTTGGTAATCTTATCATGAACGTATACCCCTTAGATTGGACTGATGCGTTAACAAGGTATGCGCTTCAAATTCCGTCAGCATCACAAGTATAATACAGTTTGTAGAAAAAGGAAAGCTATTATTATATGCCATGCCGTATCAGTATCTACGTTTAGTCTACTGAATTTCTCTAACGATTAAGTACGTATTTGGCACAAAGTATTTTTTAGTTTCCAATCGAAAATTGTGTTCAGTTCCCTTAGCTCAAGACCCCTCACAGCGACTACGGCGTAGAAAGCAATTAAAATCAACCACCACAAAAATTAAAAAAACACGAATATTATGCCGCTATTGACTTCTATTGAACTTTATTCTGAGAAACAATACCATTAGTCTTGTTCTTCATTATTATACAATTATTGCCTTCAACGTGTCGTATATAAACATCTCATTTGTACATTTATGGTACGAAATTAACAAATAAATATATTTTTTTACTATTTGATACCACATGAATTTCGACCACAAGTACTTACTAGATATTAATATAAATTATCGAATAAATTATCGCTCATTGGCTCAGTAAAAATGTACCTCAACTTCACATTAACATTAACGATGACAATAATTTATAGAAGACTTATTTGTGCTTATAGGAGAAGATATCTTACATGAGGTTTTTGGATGACATCCATATTGAATGTAGTTATGATCTAGTAATAATAATCTATGTTACTTGACGACTGTTCTGATGCTGTATACGCTGAATACGAAAGAGGCAATATCTGTTGAATTAAATGAAAACGATATGGCACAAAAACTACTCTTGAGATGGCAAATTATATAACTACACAGTGTAATTCTCTAAACTTGTGTTGGAGTAGTTGTTATTAGTAGCCAGCTAGAGTAGTCGGAAAGTTTTTAAGTTGAGATGCGTTCTTTGTCTCACTACGATGCTTCATATAATGGGTGGCAGTCACTCTGTATCACGCCATACGTAGACCTGAAATACATGTGAACATGAAGCATGAAAATGCGTATCAGACTATGTGTCAGCAAAAAGTATCGAGCACAAGAAAAGTCCACTCACTTTCATGCTCACAAATAAATACAATTGTAATCATAATGACAATATAATATATATCATACCTGTACTCTGATCCAAGTAGTATAGTACCCTGTCGTAATAATATTTTACTTACGGTGAAAATGAGGTTGCCAAAAATGCGAAACTGACTCGAATTATCTTCCTAAAAAAAAGCGGCCCGAAATGAACAAGCTTTCTTTTATTTAGTGGTTCAGCGTTTTTTCTTTATACAAACATAAAAACACAAATATTGTCAATAAGTGACCGCACGGCCAAAGTTACTGCGAGAGAATTGCCTTATATGCCTACAGAGGTTAATTCCTATTGACTAACTAAAGGCTTACTAAATTAAATACCAAATTCATAAACATTGTAGATTGTTGTACCTTTAACTTGTCTCCTCGGTCTTCTTTAGCTCTTACTACTTTCATGCGCCATGTACAGGGAATTCCCGGCATTACGGCGTTGTAAACTTGTAATTTTTTGCTTGAGCGACGTCATTTTACCGTTTTTAATTGGGGTAGTTCAAAAATAACGCCCTCTTTACAGTATGCAATCGGCGCACGATGATATCAGGACTCATAGTGATGATGGCAGGCGAATACTAGAGGTATGCCGCACAAATGTCAGATATGTAACAGCGCCAGTATGACACCAGATCCAAAAAATAAGCCGTGGAGTGTTGCTTCAAGCTTGCCTGTCACTCCGGCTTCAGCTACTAGTGGCCACTGACTGTACAGGAACATTCCGTAGCCTGTCAGAAGCACCATAGATATAACGAACTGTCGTGAACGTACCAGTAACATCACGACAATTGTTTTCGATCTCAAGCGTGGGTAGATGTTGACTCGGTTTAATTTAACTGCAAGGTGAAACCCCAGTTGTAAATTCACAACTACGGCAGAACAAAGCAACACGACTCGTTCTACGCCCTCGCACATTCACGAAACCAGTGGGAAAGAGAAACTGAGTACCTTTTAGAACGACTATCGCAAACTAGTACACAACTTCCAATATGTAGAACGGGATACAGAAATGGTCATTGTTATAGCATGGGCTTGGAGACATTCCATTAGACACACGTGGTATAACGCTGGGCGAACACTTGTCATTCTTGTAAAAGTAGCTAAAAAAGGACTCATTTAAAATTAACTTCATTATTTTGTTTTTTCTCTTAAGTGCGGTGAATGTTAGTCTCCGTGTGTACGCCGTTTGTTTAGATTGTTCTGCACGACAAGTTCTTATTTTCGAACAGTCTTGTAAGTTCTGCTGGATTTTCTACCAAGAAAAACCATAACTCCATAACACCGCCAAATACCGCATGTGTCCAGTCTTGAGACATTAATAGAGAAAACAGACAATGGCTAGGTTTATTTGCTAGACCCAATGGCATGTCGTCTGCTGTGGCGCGAATAGTTGGTTCCATGGAACTTCCAGGCTGGCTATGAATTATATTTTACCAGTTAATTTTTTTCAAAACCAAAAAAAAGTGCTGTTAAAACTCTCAACAGTTTATGTCAAGTTAAATACTAAATAAATTACTTTGTAAGTTTTTTCGCAGTTATGGGCATTGATAAAAGCATTTTCAGCGCTCGGTTATCACAAATAAGTGAGTTGAAAACGTTTTTTATTTCTTATAGATTCAACGTACGTGTATTCATTAGTTGGACTAGAATTAGAGATCTCTGGTTTTTTCGACCAAAAATGAATTGCGTACACCGCAAGCAGAACCGGGAAACGATGGAATTTAAAAATAATGAATTTGATTTCATGCATTACTTTGGCCAGCATAACGAGTTGTGCTGATCAACCTTTGAAACTTTAAAGTCAATCGAATTTACCGCTACACTTGCTCCATACTTATTTTATAAATGACGCTGGCCTTGTTCGATATTAAGATAGTGTCGTAGCTTATTACTGATTCCAGGTAGCGTAGGAACACCTTTCGTCGAAACAGGTCAAAATGGTCGACCGAGTTAAATTTGTGTTTCTAAATCACGTTATGGGACTGCTTCGCTCATCATTAAACAGATACGTGTACCTACTGTGCTACACACCGTTATGTGCAAAAAATTTGAGATGCAGATTCACGCAGATTTTCTTATTGCCTCCACTTGTTTAAAGTTCATCAGTACGTGAGAGAAAAAGATAACGGAAATCGATTCCTACCTTTACAACACAGAAATAGTGACTAATAAAGCCTGGAAAAAGGCGAATAAGAGCAACCCTACACTAGTTATGCGTTTTGCAGTACAAGTGTTTCACTACATTTTATGTAGGTGGTTTCATTTGCTATATGCTGCGTGCGTTCATACAAGATGTAGTAAAATATGCCCCAAATACTACGCGGTGTCATGCATTGCAATATTTTAGTTGAGCAGTTTCTTGGACTGAACGCAATAATTTTAAAATATAAATTTAATTCATTCATAACATACAATTGTATGCTTACAGATATAATAAATATTCTTTCGTTTTTGCTAATAAACCGATATATCCCTTCTGTGTGTACCTTCATGCCCTTTAGCTTTTTTCACGTGGTGTCAGAGTTCACGAAAAAACACTAGTTAAGACGTATAATGTCCAATTTTATCAACAAACGCCAATGATGATTAGGTCACGAGGCTGATATCATATACGGGGCGCGTTTCGACCTTATAAACTGTTTTATATAAATCTAGTTTGTAAAAGATGTATAAAAGAAATTACGTGCATCACAACAATAGCCTGGCAGAAATAGATCGAGAATCGGTTTTTTAAAAAGATTTGTAAACTTAAATGCACTATTATTAACATATCTTAAATACCTGTACGTGATGACAACAACAAAAACATGAAGGTAATAAATTAGTTTTAGAATGAGGACCAGTGGACTTATCCTTCGGATGACCGGTTTTTCGGGCAGAAACAATAAAATCGAAAGTTTGGCTATCTATAAAATTCTTATAGTAAACTACAATGCTGATGTTTGCGTTAATAGATTGTACGCCGTTTCATCTGAGTGTGTAGGCACGCGAATGGACATCAGTTCTTTAGACCTCGTAAGCACTTGTCTATTTTATTCCCACTCCAGCGCAATGGCCAACTCTCAATTTGGATACCATTTGTACTCAAAGAAAACTTTCCCATGTGGCGCTATTAGAGACGAACTCAAACTCCGTTACTGGCTTGGTGCAAGGCTTGCGGGATACAGTCACAATGTCTTAAGCCAAGGCTCCAAACCGGCGAGTGTCTGAATTATACTTGAGCCCATTCAGATGGCTCACGCTCACTGCCAAACAGTTACCCAAGCTTTGAACACTTAAAGTTAAGCGCCGGCATAATTAGCGGTTCGTGGCCAGCATTTTTACGATTTTGCTTAGGAATGTTTCACATAAAGGAGTGTTCTGTAAGATATAGGCAATATATATAGACAACTAAGTATTTTGTAGTTAAAGACCAAATAAATAAGACAATATACATTTTTTCACAACTGGAAGGGGAATGTAATCGATTAAACGGAAAATACATTAAATCCAGAATGTGACTGACAGGTTAGTTAATCCACCTATTTCCTATCGTAGACCGTATATCGATTTATCGATTTACTGGACAAGAGAAACAGATATAAATATTCACGTCTGAAGTGCAAAGGGATCTATGGCGTTAACTATATCCGACGCATACCTCATCATTAAGGCTAGCATTTAAACTTTTCAAGTTTCTACTGATCAGACGACTGAACTAGCTAGCAACACGTCGATATGTCTTTTTTCAGCAAAGTTCTCCTAACTACAACCCATGCAGTTTACTTTTAAACTTCGGTCGAGGATCATGACACTCTATAAACGCCTCATAGCTTCTTGTTCTGGAACCTTTTCAACACTTCTACAAAAGTCGTGAGATGCACGCGCTCAGCTTCATAGCCATGCAAGTGTCGTTTAAGTAGGTTTTCGGCATTATTGGAATACGGGTGCATTTATCTCTCCCAGGGAACATCTCTTACTTTCAAAAAAAAACTTTAACGGTCTAAAGTTATATTATCAAATTACAGCCACGTTATCCTCGCTCTGCAGATAGATCTTTACTGCGAGAAAGGTAAGTGAACAATCTTTTGCGGGGATATTTAGATTCTACTGGCTACTTATATCGAACTGGCTTATGACACAGGCTTCGCTATCTTTTCAGCCATTTCCGCGGCACAGTAACGTCCGTCGTCGACAGCAATTACCAATGACCGATGCAGTGTAAAAGATAACCATTTAGTTTTGTGATACGGTAGACTTGAGATATAAATAGCATCTATACAGTAAGCTACTCGATATTATTCAATAATTAATTGAAAGCGTACACATTTACCTACTACTCATAGCTAACTGTCGTCGGTTACACGCATGTTCTATTTGCAGTGCGGCTCCTAAAGTTTTGAGTTCATTTCTCAGCTGCATTCCTACCAGATTAATTATCACCATACTATAGATACATAAAAACAGCTGCTATCTTTAACCTCGCTTCTCCTTGCCTCGGGCGCCACTGCAGCAGCTGCTGCTGCTGTCACAACCGTTCTGCAAAATGAGGGTATGTGAGAAGAGTCATGAAATCAGCTCACTGGGAACATACTGTTCCGTCTGCTCCCAGGGAGTATTATCTTGCGAAGCACGGCCATCGTGTAGCGCGAAAGCGAAGTAGTGTGAGGGGGGAGAGAAAAGGCAGGGGAATATGCTCGCAACGCTTATATATTATACATTAGTCACATGCCAGACCATTCTCTACATTGTTTAAAACAAGCAACCTGAACGAAAGAAAGGAAGGCTGTTTTTTTGTCGGTTGAACGGTATTTGTTTAATATGTTCTTATGAGTAGCACGAGTTTACGGTTGTGTTCGGCTGTGCGAATGCTGCTTATTTTAGCTGCTTAATAGTCTCTCTCTCTAATAAAACGGACTTCACCTGCTTTAGACACGAGTGGCTGTTCCTGCGTCAATCTTTCACGGATTTTTCGTGCAGGTTAATTGTTATATATATATATATATATATATACGGCTATAAACAGGTCACGAAGCTGCCGATATTCGTATCCTACGATCTAGATAGTAGTATAAACGCATTATACGATAAAATGCAAACATTAAGAAATCTGATAAACGATATGGTATATGTTTAAACGCACTGGTTACTTCTGGCGCAGCTCTGTGTATCCCGCAAAGAACGAGTATCTATTTAATTATGGGAACCTGGGTAGTGTCTGCGAGCTATCATAACGCTTAACGCGTTAGGCTGTTTTCTCTGCAGCGAGAAGCCGTGAGCGCATAGGATTTCCAGCCATTCGATTTCGGTTTCTAATTCCGAAGAATACGTACCACTCAAAGGTATGTTATTGTTGTAGAGTATAACGTTCTCGAGTATTTTGTCGGCTACTCGACACTTGTTTGCTATGGTTGTATGTGGGCGGCGGTATTGTACAATGTAAAGTAGTGCAGTATGTTCAGCAACTGGCGCCCAAGGGAGTGATTACAGCTTTTGAGTAGCGCCCCACGGAGCCATCCGATCATGTATATATGTAAAGCGTATCAGCCGCAAAACGATCTTCCTTCGTCTTACTGCGATGTTTACATGCAGACAGTGATGGTGGTAGCGCCGGTATGCATAAGTAAAAGTTCCATAAATTCGCTTGCTGACTAAAAGTTAAAATTACCCTAGAACAAATTAAAAATATATAAATGACTAAAGTCGATTTACACATCGATACAGTAAGGGCTGACTGAATACGATTGCCAAAATTACATGAACAAAGAATTTCGGTTTGAAGATAAATGCGCAATAACATTAGCGTTCTTTAATCAAATAGGCTTCGCACTGCAATAAAGCTATAACTTAGATAAATTATAGGAAGTTAATCTTTTATTCGAGTAATATGTAACTATCTATCCACAACTGTGAGTCACTGAAACAGAATTCGGCTCGTTGAAAGCACCGAAATTGTCATGCTTCATGTCATTTTCGTCTTTGTGCTGGGCGGTTAGATCATTTCAGTTTAGCCCGTACCTTTGATATATTATAAAATAATGTAAAAAAACCTATATATGGTAGTTGTTCATATTCATATTTTCCATTTTGAATAAATTGAAAAATCAAAAAGTATTGTATAAGCCATTGAGCAAAAATCATACCGATTAATAGCTGTGGAAGCTGTAAAAGAACACATGAGGAAGTCTCAACAATAACTCAGCCAGATCCAAAACATTGCTTTCGTATACAGTAAACTAGGTGGTATACTGTACAGTTTTGAAACATACGTATTGAGATGTCAAGTGTAGAGGTTTCCCAACTGTTAAAGATTATACAATATAGCATAACATCAGCTTATTTTCATTCAATCTAATTGATCATGTGATTTATACCTTCTTTGCGCCAACATTTCTTTAATAAATTTAAGAATGCAAAAGCTTGTTGGCCGTTCAGATCTTTCACAAATTTTGTACTGAACAAGTTCACTTAAAAGGAGCATAATAAATACCAGCATGAACTCGTTTAAATATAGTCTTGAGCATTGCCGTTTTCGAACTGTTTAATGAGATTATGAAGAATATATTCTTACTTGAAACTAAGAAGCATCATTTGGCAGCTGGTTTCAATGTTTATTTTATATAGTGATTTTTTTCTGCGCACCACGAACACCCCGGCGCCTTTATAGCCTTGATAGCGCACGCCAAAAAATTAAGCAGAATAAGATGACTGGACTATGGCATGGTAGAAGAATATCAATACAGATGGAAGACCCCTTTAAGGCAAGTCAGTAAATACTACCGGGAAGGGAACCACATGACATGCGTAAAAGAATCTATTCATTGGTATAAGTTTTTTCGTCGTAACGCCTGTGCTTTCGTGTAAAAATCTAGAAACTTGCTTGGAAATCTCAGGTTTGGTGCTGCAACAACAGCTTGCATCGTACAGCCTTTGGAGCGCCCTATTTATATTAGATGTGAAGCAACGGGTTCATTTTTATTTTGCACAAGTTTTCCAATCTGCTCCTTCTTTGCGTTTCCTAGAGGAGTAGTTTATTTGTAAACATTCGAAACCAGGAAAAAAGTCTCTGGCTTTTTTTTGTTCAAAGTAGGTCGCGCAGCTTGCAAGCCATATTTTTCAATACGGTTTTCTATAAAAACAAAAAGAAGAGGATCCATGGCATATTTTCAATAAAGCCAAGTTCACTTCAGAAGCGTCCATATGGCAATTGATACCTATGGCGCAAACACTACAAATCTCCATAAGGATAAGTTGGTATTTTATGCCTATCGTACAGGGATACTGTCGCGTCTTCGAGTTTTTCCTTTTTGGG